CAAGCATATATATACTTACGAGAACTCCCAATGGTGCTACAAAAACACATAAAGAAAACACAAGGCAAATCCATCCAACTATCACCCCACGGTTAACTCCGCTTACAAGGAATTGGGTTGAGAAAACAATTAATCCAAATCCAACTACGACTAGCAATATGATTAGCTTCAAACTTTCCATCTGCAAAAATAAGTTTAAATATGTTTAATGATCTTCTTTGATGATAACTATATACAATATATTCGTAAAATTTCATAGTAAATTAAGTGAAAATTAACACGTACCCGAGCCTTCTTCGGTGCGTAGAAGAGAAAAAAACATATGTACAATGTCTCGATGATACACCCAACTGAGTTAATCGTGATGAGAAGCATGACATTGGTCTTGAGAAATGCGTAATATATCCAAAGCATCGCACTGAATAAGCCCACCACATAAGGCGCTGATTGATACCCTTCTGTTGATTTCTTTTTGTAAATTTTATAAAATGTCGGTCTGCATTTTCATTAAATTTTCTTGAGAGTTAGCAAATAACCTAGCTACCAAGCGGCTAAACTAATAAGTGAGAACGTAATAAGACTTACATGGGTGCGAGAAATACCATAAACGAGACAATATTTCCTGCAAGTTTGAGAAAGCAATATGTTAGCAACATAATCATGCATGTAAATATACAAAGGAAAGGAGAGTGGAACACAAAGTGAAGGCAACAAGCGGCATGTATATACCAAGAAGGCCAAAAGCAAGAGTGAGATGAACCATGTTGATCCAAGCCATTTTCCTTTATATATTGGTTAGTCAGGAGTAGCTCTTCTTCCTAAAGTAAGTGAGGTTTAACAAATATGCTACCTTTCACTCTATATGTCTGTTGTTAGTCGTGATGAATTGTGCATAAGATATGGTAAACTGACCCCTATATATAGTAAGATAGAGTTGAGGCTGTTGACGATCATCATCATTACATAGCATCTAACTTGATTTATCATCCATCAAATTTTATAGACTAAAGAAAATTCAGGATTATATTGACACATGATTGTTTACAGGTTTTTAATTAATACAACACTCATTTTCCTTTGTACGTTTCTTTTTTTTTTTTTTTTTATTATTTTGTTATTATTATTATTATTATTATTATTTTTAAAATTATTTTATTTATTTATTTTTTTGTCTTTGTAACTTTTTCTAAAACATATATATTATTTTCCATTTTTTTTTTCGAATGAGACAATGATACATATAGTTTTTCCCTACATATTTCAGATTTCATAGTGATAATAATTAACTGCATGTCGATCGAAAACCATTTTGGAAAGAAAACATTGCTTAGCTTTGTTGCTTTACAAACTTCAAACGTGTCACTTTCAAGATCACTTAAAGAATTAAATATAACAGTTACACGTTTATCTTTAGTAGACTTGGATGGTTTTAATTCTTAAATTCCAACATTGTCTAATTTCCCAACTTAGCTGCTTTTGTAGGATTATAATGCATCTAATCAATCCCACAATACCTCACTTATTTCTATTAAATAAAAAAAAATCCCACAATAGATCCCTCACTTTGAGGGCACCCAGCTACTTGCTAGTATATAACCACCCATCCAATTCGTCGGTTATATATATAATGCATTCATCTCATTTATTTCTAAATACGTTCACAATCCATTGAACTTTATAAATTTCGATGGATTCTCATATCATCCATTAAACATTTATACATCACCACGATAACCCATTAAACACCTATTCAATTATAATCACCACTTTATTCATTCTATTGAACTATTCAATGATCATTCAACTTCTCCATTCAACTTTACTCCATGCCATCACCAACACTCCATTCAACACTTATTTAATCCTAGTCATCACCCTATTCAACTTTTATATTACTTGCATTGTGGGTGCCCTAAGGCTGGATGCCACTGTTGGAGTTAAGAGAGAAAGAGTTAGGAAACTACTGCTTTTATTGATCTCAAAGACACGTACAAAACAAGGAAAACGGCAAGACTTATTTAAACTAAAAACATAACAATAAAAGAGAAAACTAAGGAGCACTATCCCACTAATAGCAGTATAACCTTTATCCCGAAAGACTCGCCTAATACTTCCTGATTACCAGGTCACTTAGCTGACTAATTCTAAGTGACCGTTGATGCAGATTTGGATCAATATTCAACACGCCCCCTTGATTCAAATGTGCATACTCCAAGCAGATCTCTAAAGTAGCTGAACTTTCCAACTGGTAGTGCCTTTGTGAGAATGTCAGCTAACTGCACATTAGTACTACAATACTTGACAATGACTTCTCCTTTGCTTACCAGCTCACGGATGTAATTAAAACGAGTGTCAATGTGCTTTGTGCGACTGTGAAGTGCTGGATTTTTAGTCAAGAAAGTTGGAGACTTGTTGTCACAGTAAATGTCAGTTGCCCCGTGTTGCTTTTGTTGAAGTTCTTCAAGTACTCTTCTTAACCATACACCTTGACATGCTGCAGCAGTTGCAGCTATGTATTTTGCCTCGGTGCTTGATAATGTTATGCTTTCTTGTTTCTTTGAGCTCCAAGTTACTGCACCTGTGACTATGGTGAACACATTAGCTGCAACACTTTTCCTGTCATCACTACATCCAGCCCAGTCGCTATTTGTAAAACCACACAACTTGACTTGTGTTGCTTGAGTATACCATATTCCATATTTAAGAGTACCAACAACATATCTCAGAATCCGCTTTGCTGTCCAAAGTGTATCTTCTAGGGATGATGCATGAATCTGGATACAACCCCAACAGAGTAAGCAATATCAGGGCGTGTGTGTGTTAGGTAGATCAAACCTCCTACTAAGCTCCTGTATCGTATAGCATCTATTCTCTTTTCACCATCTTCCACAACAAATTTTTCACTGGAATTCATTGGTGTTGCAGTGGGAGTGCAACCTATCATACCCATTCTAGTAAGAAGGTCTTTTGCATACTTGGCTTGATTCACAAATATTCCATCAGTACTTTGAATGACTTCCAGGCCCAGAAAATAACATAGCACCCCCATGTCGCTCATTTCAAACATACTTATCATTTGTGACTTGAACTCATCAATCATTATATTGGAGGAACTCATATAGATAATGATATCTACATACAAGCAAACAATAATGATATCACATATACCAGATTTCTTTATATAGAGAGTTGGCTCATTTTCACTTCTACTGAACCCATTTTCTTTAAAATAATCATCAATCTTGCTATACCAGGCCCGGGGTGCCTGCTTTAGGCCATAAAGGGCTTTCTTTAAATGGTAGACCTTGTTTTCATTTCCAACCACAGTAAATCCTTCCGGTTGCTCGACATATATTTCCTCTATTAGCTCACCATTGAGGAAAGCCGATTTCACATCAAATTGATAGACAACCCATTGTTGTTGAGTTGCCAATGATAAAAGCATTTGTACTGTTTCAAAACGAGCTACCGGTGCGAAGGTTTCTTCAAAATCAACACCATATTCTTGTGCATAGCCTTTAGCGACGATTCTTGCCTTGTACTTATCAACTTTTCCATCAGCTCCATACTTTGTCTTGAACACCCATTTGAGTCCTAAGGCATGCTTTCCTTCAGGTAATTCCTTAAGTTGCCATGTTTGATTTTTTGTTATAGACGCCATTTCCTCAGCCATTGCTTTCTTCCATTCTTCTTTAATTGATGCCTCCTTATAACTTTCGGGATCTGCACAAAAGAGAGCAAATTAGCAGGATGTATAAATATCGGCTAGGGACCTAAATTTCGCAGGTGGAGTGTTGTCCGGAGATTGTCCCTCTGAAGGTGAACTAGAACTTGAGGAAGTAGTATTTGATGCATGGCTTGCCGGTGGAGAGGACATCTCTTCGCCTGGTTATATGATTCGATGTTGCTTACCATAAACACAACCTTCACACAGATCCATTTGTGTTATTTCTGGTAGCCCATGAACCATGTTGTTTGTATGAAGGAGCTTCAGACCTTGTTGATTTAGATGCCCATATCGAAGATGCCACAGCCATGATGTGCTCTTTTCTTTTTTAACCAATGCAAAGTTTCCAATTGCTGAAATATCTAAAGGAAACATTATGTTCTTTGTCATTGGAACCTTAACAATCTCCTGAAGGTTTTTGCTAATAACACACATTTCATCTTGGAAAAGAACGGAGTGCCCGGTTGATATTAGTTGCCCAACACTTAGAAGACTATACCCTAAAGAAGGTATATAAAAAACTTCATGCACAAGACGTGTCTTCCCAGTTGTCAATTGAATTTTCACAGTGCCTGTCCTTCTCCATATAATTTCTTTCCATCACCAACTTGAACTACCATATTCTGCGTGTTGTCATGTGTAGAGAAGGCATCTCTTCGCCTGGTTATATGATTCGAACATCCACTGTCAATGAACGAAATGTTGTTTGCTTTATTCACATCTCCAGCACACATCATGAGAGCCATGTGTATCTGTTCTTTATGATCGTCCTCCGCCATACGCACCATGAACAACTTCTCTTCTTCCTCAGTTTCACCCAAGTTCTCTTCAGCAACATAACTAACATGTTGATCCTTGAACCAACAGTCATCTTTCACGTGACCAAAACGATTGCAATGTTTGCATTGCACACTATTTCTTCCTCGACCTTTACCGAAGCCTCCTCGACCACCAGATCTGCCTCGAATGCTTCCTGATCCACGACCACCAAATGATGTTGCATCTTGTGCTTGGAAATTTCTTGATCCACGTCCACCATAGGATGATGTATCCTGTGCCTGCAAAGCCTTTTCTTCTATTATTGTTGGTGAACGTTTAATCCTTGCCTCATGGGACTGCAAGGACCCCATCAATTGATTAGTGGAGAGAACTGAGAGATCCTTTGAATCTTCTATTGATGCTACTACGTGGTCAAAATTTTGTGGTAGACTCCGCAACACCTTCTCGACAATGGTCTGATCACTTATCTCTTCACCATATGCTCTTAGTTGACTCACATAGTCCATACTTCTTTACATGAAATCAACAACAGCTCTTCATCTTTCATTGCTAGGTTTTCAAATTCTCTCCTGAGAGACTGACGCCTTACAACAGCTACCTTTGAGTCGCCATGAAATTCTTCACGTAACACCTCCCATGCCTCTTGTGCGGTGCTTGATGCTGTGATTTTTGAAAACATCGTATCATGAACTGCTTGCTGGATAATGGACAGTGCCTTGGCATCCTTTCTCTTGTTTTCTTTCATCAGTGCTTCATCATCTTCAGTGGGACACCCATTTTCTACAAACTCCCACAGGTCTTGTGATTTGATTAGTGTCTTGAGTCGTATGTTCCAATACTAGTATTCATCTCCCTTGAATACTGGAATCAATGGTTGTGCCGAACTCATACTGTTTCCCGAGTTTGCCATCACAGAATCGCCAGTTGCTCTGATACCACAATGTTGGAGTTAAGAGAGAAAGAGTTGGGAAACTACTGCTTTTATTGATCTCAAAGACACATACAAAACAAGGAAAACAGCAAGACTTATTTAAACTAAAAACATAACAATAAAAGAGAAAACTAAGGAGCACTATCCCACTAATAGCAGTAGCATCTTTATCCCGAAAGACTCGGCTAATACTTCCTGATTACTAGGTCACTTAGCTGACTAATTCTAAGTGACCGTTGATGCAGATTTGGATCAATATTCAACAGCCACATATACCACACTTTTTGCTCTTCCACGTCATTCTTACCATAAAATGTGATTTCATTGCCGCACACCAGGTTTGATGCCACAATTGTTTAAAAAATTTAATTTAAATCAAAATATGAAATTTCATTAATTCAAATAAAAAATACATACTAAAATTAAAATAACTTTAAAAAAGAAAAACACAAAAAACTTTAAAAAAAATCACAAATAAAATAACTAAAACATACTACTAAAATCAAAATAACTTAAATAATGAAAAACATTAAAAAAAATCACAAATAAAATAACTAAAACATATTACATGAAGTGTTCATCCGAGAACTCGTCTTCCCAGTCATCCGGGTGGATCCAAATTGAGATTAATGTGTTGAATCCCATAAATGTGTTCCACCAAGTCAATGCGAAGATTGTGAATGTTTCAGTGCTACATATATTTGTTCTCTTATCAATGTACTTATCGCCACCAATTTCTGTTGGTTGTGTCTCGGGGATGGTTTCATGGTCGACAAACACACATATCGATCTTCGTTTATCTTTAATAATCTTATTATGCAATACGATACATGCATATATGACTTCTTGAAGTTTTCCTTCGTTGAAAAAAAGTACTATGTACCAACGTTTCTTAAGAGATCCAAAAGCTCGCTTGACATCCTTCCTAGCTCTTTCTTGAGCTCTTTTGAATGTTTTCCATCTAGAATCATGTGGATACGAAAATGATTTAACAAACAAAGCATACTCATGATATATCCCATTAACAAGATAATAATCATACTTATATGGCGTTTCATACACTTGAAAGAAGAATATCGTGCAGAACCGTCATATATGTTGTTAAATATAGGTGAATTGAATTTTTTTAGAAAACGAAGATGACGACAACATTTCCTAGTGACTTTGAGAGAAAAAGATATATATATATATATATATATATATATATATATATATATATATATATATATATATATATATACTAATGAAGAGAGAGAGAGAGAATTTTACAGGGTGCGACCAAACCACACCTCAAATCACACAGTAGGGAACACCTCAAATCACACAGTAGGGAAGTGTTCCTTTGCGCCACCGTGACAAAAATACGGTAGAACTGCATCCACTCCGTTGAGTATAATAAAATTTTATAGCTTAATTAATTCATTAACAAGCGTATCAAAAGATGTGTTAATTAACAAGTATGTACTTCTTTGCCATGTCGTCACCAATTTCTTATTGGTGGGTTCTAATGGCCGAATGTTGGTCCTACGCAAGGAAGTGCATTAATTATTTCACATTGAACAAATATGAGCGTTAGCTAACTTTGAGTTTAATGTATTGAATCAGTCTATCTTATAAGGTGGACGATAGAGGCGATAGTCTATGGTCGATCTTTTAAAGGGGCTGATATATATATATATATATATATATATATATATATATATATATATATATATATATATATATATATATATATTAGTCATATATTTAATTTTAAGAGGTATAAGTTAGAAAACTTTTTGTACAAATCAATTATGCATAAATAAATCAGTAACACTTGCCAAAAGTTTGAAGACTTAAATTGAGGAATGTTATTAAGAAATTCAATTTAGAGCAAAATAATAAATTTAAATATTAAGTTCATGTATATAAATTAATTTACATTTCTTAAAGTAGACACCATCTTAATTATTTACATTAAATGTATAAACATGCAATATAAATACAAAGTATAAACATAAATGTTTATTTAAAACTGCTAGATTTTTATTACATAATAACTAATAATAAAATATAATATTTAGTTTGCCGTAACAATTATTTGTCAAAAAAACTATTTATAACCGCTGCTTTGCGCGGACACACATCTAGTTTATATATATATATATATATATATATATATATATATATATATTAGGTTATAACCCGTGGGCAGCACGTGTTAGAAATTAAAATATATTTTTTAATTAAATTATAACTTATTTATTTGAAATTTATATTGATAATAGATAATAAAATCTTTACTAATTAAAGTGTATATGTTTTGCAGTAATATGATAATGACATAACTATTAGTTGAAATTACGAGCCTTTTGTGATTTGAATATGCAATTGGTATTTTGTATTTGTGGATATGCAAAAAATTTATAATTTTATAAAATGAAATATAATTATAACTAAAACAAATACTGAAATTCATATAAAAAATAAAATTGTACAAACTTATTTACAAATTTCTAAAAACTTCTTTATACACAACATTTGATGTTTTATTTGTTAGTCTACCATGTTTATCTAAAATCAACAATCTTAATCCTTGTCTACTTTGAACTCTGGATAAAGCAACGTACAACCATGTGTAAAAACAGGATCCTTTAGAAAGAAACCAACTTTCGATAAAGACTGTCCTTGGCTCTTATTAATTGTCATTGCAAAAGACACAGTTAATGGAAATTGTCTTCTTTGGAATTTGAAAGGGATCTTGTCTTCAAAAGGAGTTAAAGACATTCTTGGAATAAAAATCCGGTTCCCAATATTACTTCCGGTTAAGATAACTGCCTCGATAACACGTTTGCCTAAGATATAACCATTAGTCTAGTCCCATTACATAAGCCATTTTTCTGATCAATGTTTCTCAATAATATAACTGGAACACCGATTTTTAAAATGAGCTTATGGTTTGGCAGACCTGAGACTTTAAGATCATTTAAAACATCAGGTGAGTATAAATTTGTATCAAACTTATCATGAAGAAACTCGGATTGGCATAGGCTATCTGAACTTAAGTATTCAGTTGGTTCTCCTGGAAACAATGACAACAAACGATCGTTTATTTCTTGGACAACTTCATTCTTGGGAGCAATTATTGCTCTTTCTTGAAAATAATCAGGAATGTTGAAGTTTTCTAGTATAGAAGGATATACAAAACTAATTAATGAACCTATAGGATCGTGTGGATTAGTAATGAGAATATCTTCTGGAATATCAACAATTGCTTCACCGTCATTCGGACCACCAAGATTACCTTCTCCTATGTCTAAAAGCCAAGTTGCAAAATCCCTTATTTGTTTAATAGAAGATGTATCGCTTCCAACTGTTAACCTCATGTTTTTGGTTAATTTATGAACTTTGCATTGTTGCCATAAATAAGAAGAACTTAAAGAAGCATTAACAATGTTTTCTCTACTGCCACCTGGAACAACAGGTAGAATTTGTCTGAAATCACCTCCAAAGACAATCACTTTCCCTCCAAATGGAATATTTGAATTCGTAGGATTGACACACTTTAATATATCCTTGAGAGTTCGATCTAAAGCTTCGAATTCATGTTTGTGAACCATGGGTGCTTCATCCCAAATGATCAATGAGGTTTTTCTTACTAAACTGGCAAGATCATTCTTTGGATTTATTCTACAAAAAGAATCCTCGGTAAGATTTATGGGAATTATAAACCGAGAGTGTGCTGCCCTACCTCCGGTCAATAATAATGAAGCTATCCCACTTGAAGCAACATTTAAAACAATCTCACCTTGACATCTAATTGTTGCAGAAATTGTATATAAGAATATTATTTTGAGTATGATTAAAAAAAGGAAAGTAACCTCGATAGTTTTTTTAACCAACTCTTTTGGTGATTGCTTCAACAGATACTTTCCATCTCTCTCAAACATGGTTAGGGTTAGAGTTCCAGTATTATCTTGCACACGTATAGGAATCATGAACCTATCAAAAAATAAATTCGAAATGTGTCATAAATTTATGATAAACATGGATTATTACATAGTTAATTATAAAAGAATTGTAAAGTAACAACCTTGGAACAACGGAAGTGGTATCTTTTGTGCAATCTCCATTATGACATACATAAGATTTGGTTTGTTGATCATCACTTCCATTAAATGGAACTGCTTTCCCAAAACAGTTGGTACATGCTTTATAATACCATGTTTTATTCTGTAAAATTCCCTTTATAGTGCCCACTATAACGAAACTACATTTCTACAAATGAAAGGTATGTACTTTAAACATACATACATAACACAAACATAAAAAAGCACAAGCACACAATAAAGATGGTTAAAAACAACAATTTAGATTGAAAGAAACAATAAGACATGAAATACCTCAACAGGTTCCCAAACCTCAGAGATAGCATTCAACTTATTTTTTATCATGAAATCATCATATTCAGAAAGTTGTTTGGATGGAATAACTGAAAATGTATTTGTAGATGAATCTGGAACATCATCTCCATCCAAACTGTTATGTATACAAAAAAATATATTAGTCACGTAAAGTATAAATGTACAATAAACACAATTATGCATAAATTACCTTTTGTTGAAACGAATAATTTCATCTATGTGAGAGTTAATGAACAACTTTGAAGAGGTAAAGTATGTGTTTACACTTCGACGATCTATAAAGAAAATATATAAAGATTAATTTGATCATGACAAAATAAATATTAATAACATTAATAACATAATCAATATACCTCTGAAAACATTAATCTGACCAAATTGAAGAATAACAACGATACGACGATTATGTGGATTGTTATGTATATACTCTTGCATCTTGTACGCATAATCGCCCCACAAATAGAAATGAAGTTGCAAGCCTCTAAAAAGTAAATTATTTATCAAAAAATGATATATTAACATAATATAATTTAAAATTTTTAAAAAATGTAAAAATATAAGAAAAGCAACTTTGCATCTTGGATGTTGATGTTGAGCTTGTGTTTTGATTTATCTGGATCATGTCGTTGTATCTCAGCAACTGCGACAACTAAACCCATAACATCTATAAAACAAAAAAAGGAAAATGAAACTTATTATAGGCTTTGGAAAGCATTTTATTATATTTAAAGATATAATGATATGTACTAACCAACAGATTTATCTTGAGGATGGGCGAACGATAAAATGTTTTGATAATCAACAAATGAAAACCCAAACTCATGTCCAGAAAAATCGTTACACTTTATAACAACAGTTTGTGGGACGAATGTGAGTTTCTGATCTTGAGGAGTTAACTTAAAAGTATCTATCTTCAGTGCTGCAAAGTCTGGACCTTTGATGTAAAATGGCATGCCTTCCTTTACTATATTTTTGAATCGATATATGTTTCTTTTCGAAACTGTTGCTTGGATTTTGTTCCCCTAAAAATATTTAATACAACAATAAAAAATTTAGAAGTAATTAAAAATAACGAAATATGTGTAAGAAATATATCAAATTAATTTTTAAAAGGTACTTTTTCATCCATTAAGATCATTTCAATTGACCAAATTTCATTTTTTTTGTAGAAACACATTTGATCCCAAAGGTTTATGACACGAAGCTTGAACGTCAAGTCATCCCTGGTTACATCCAAATCAGGTATGAAGGTAAGATTTGCTGCTGCCATTTATCTGCAAAAAATAAAACTGTTAGAAAAATAAAGTTTTTGTTATAAAACTGTTAGAAAAGAATAATATGATGATAGAATATGATAATAAGACAATAAGACAATAAATAATATTACATTGTTATTTGAATAAAAGAATGAAAACTTAACAGATGTTGATTAAAAATGTTCATCCGTTTTTTCATTTGTTTTTGAGTCAATATATATAGGCTGTAGGGCCTTCAATAGAGTACAATTTTGATCGAGTAGGATCACTTTATATTTTTTGTATAATCCTATTGAACATGAAGTATGATGTAGACATGGTACAGATGCATGAAAATAAATTGGACAATAGATATGGGGTTCACATTAAGAATATTCAAACAGGGATAGTTGGTCGGACTTAAAAAAATATACATGATAGCAGTATCAATCAATGAAAAGAACAATTATTATTCATCATATAAATTATAATGATATTATGATGCAGATATTTGGGTCTCGTCCTTCTTGTGCGGATTACATAAAAGTTTTGATTGAATCTCTGTTTAGCAATACAACTTGTTTGCTTACAAAAATTCAGGTTCAGTTTCTCCTCTTCTAAAACTAAATCTTTAATACATGTAAGAATCAGATTGAAGAATAAGTAGAAGAAGAAGGAATTCAAATTAAAAAATCAAAATATTTGGGTCTGATCCTTCTTGTGCGGATTACTTAAAAATTTTGATTGAATCTTTGTTTAGCAATACAGCTTGTTTGCTTACAAAAATTCAGGTTCAGTTTCTCATCTTCTAAAACTAAATCTTTAATACATGTAAGAATCGGATTGAAGAAGAAGTAGAAGAAGAAGGAATTCAAATTAAAAAATCAAAAGAATGAACACTAATAATTGATGATGATACGCTAACCTGATGATTTTGTTATTCTGTGACAGAAAGTTCTGTGAATGAAAGTGAAGTTCCGTCGAATTCTGTGGAAAGGGTTAATATTAAGATGATGATATTGCCGATACTTGATGTATAAAAGTATAAAATTTAGCCTATAAATCAGGAATCAGTATCAAATATTTTGAATTGATTCAAATTGATTCAAATTCCGATAATTTTGGATGTTTAAGATATTTAGGATATATATTTTAGGATATAAATCAGATAAAATAACGAATTCTGCATTTTTAATTTCTACATATTTTGTTCCTATTTTTATGCATGTAAACTCCAACGATTTTTTTTTCTTAATTATGCTGATTATGCTGATAATTATGTTGATATGTAGGGTTAATGTGAACGAATTCTGCTGGGATTATATGGGCAGGAAAAGAAGATGTAGAATAATGGAGTAATGACACGTAGCAATATGTTGTGCTAATAGTTGGACAAGTGGCATTTAGTAGAGTGTTTTATTAGGTAGATATATATATATATATATATATATATATATATATATATATATATATATATATATATATCAAATTGAAAATGTTATATTTATAAGATAGTAGCCTAGTACAACTAATTTTCTTTTAATTATTATAAAAAACTTGATGAAAATTGTGTATTTTAAGAACATTTTTTCTCCTCGTCCCGGACAAAAAATATGTTTGGAACGACACTATATTTATTATATTTTTACCAAAATATGCCGCATAATCTTATGGATAATAACTTAAAATGATAACATAGTTTAAAATGATAACATAGTTTAGAATGTATACATATTTAATTATTTATGTGCAACTTTATATACAGTTTTAATTATTTATGGTATTTAATTTAATTTTTTTATATTTATATATATTTAGTCACTTATACTTTTTATTTTGTACACATATAACCATTACATTTAATGGTCATATGTGTACAAAGTAAAAATCATAAATGATTAAACGTATGAAAAACATAGATTATTACATGTGTATAAAAATAAACATAAATGAATAAATAATTATACGATCTAAACTTTGTTATTTTTTAAAGCATTATCCCTTCAAGAAATTATCATATGTTCATAAACAAAACTTCATTTAAAGTCCATTATCCTAATAAAAACCAACAAAATTATATTGTAATTCACAAAGTTGCCGCTGGAATGGTCTAAAGCTACATCGTCACCCTAAGAAATTATCATATGTTCATAAACAAAACTTCATTTAAAGTCCAGAATATAAAAGCCAACAAAATTATATGGTAATTCACAAGTTGCCGCTGGAAAGGCCTAAACCAAGATCGTCACCCTGGGGCACAAAACATTAATTATAATTAAGGGGCTGAAATCAAAGTTTTATAAACAAGTTTAATTTTTTTGTCCAACTTATGAACACAATTAATCAACAAATAATTTTATAAATATTATGTATTATGATTAAGAGTCGTACGGTATATAAATAAACATTTGTATTTATTTCCAATATTACATAAAACGTCTAGGATGATAGAAATTCTATTCATTTTCAAAGTTATCTTTTTATAGCAAACTTGTATTTTGGCAACCGTGCGTTGCGGTGGCACCAATACGTTTTATAAATTGAATTTTGATGATTGTATTGATAAAAGTTAAGTACCGTTGTATTTGTTGGTAGATAAATATATAAGGTCGAACCATTTGCAAAATTGTCTGTAGATGGGGTAAACTCGAAAGTTTAGAAAGCCGAGAGGGGTAAAAATGATATTTTACAAAGTTCAAAACCAAAAGGGTCATGGTGACATTTGACAAAGTTGTGGGGTGGTAACTGTATGAATATCATATTATATATGTTAGAATATTTCACTAAAATGTGGCCTTCAGACCACTTATGCAATAATTATTTTAATGTTACTATATTTACATTTAGTGATAATAACTATGCCAATATGACATAAATGGTACCCTATCTTTCAAAAACTTATTTGATGGAAGTATATTATATAAAGGGCACAAATTGATTTTCCATTAGATCTCTATTACAGACTGATGCATCTCAGAATTTTTGGCCTTAAAACCGAGCTTGACCTTGATCTTCTTGATGGAAGCCGAGATTCTGAACCTGAGAATCAACACAAACAATAAGACGTTCACCTGGAAAGAGTCCCGGGAGAACGCTCCGATGATTAATTTAATCGATTGAATATACTTTTCGTTATAATTTGTAAGATGTAGTTGGTATTGAGTACCTATTTTCTTTGCTTCGTTCAATCTTTATAGTTCTTTCATCGGGAAACGTTCTTCCTAGCTAGACTGCACATATCCTCTCTTGTCGCATTAATGCTTCCTTTGCCGAAGGTACAAAAGGTTGTACCTAGAAAGGGTCAGCAGTCACTTCCAATGGAATGAGTGCACTCTTAGAAATTCCAACGGTACTTTATAGGCTTTTGTTGACAATATCGGGGTTTCATCCGTCTAATCTTTGTCAGCTGATATTTGTGACCGGTCTTGCTCCATAATGGTTCAGTCTCTTGCTCTTCGGTTTGGCAAAGTATCTGCGAGGGGACAGGTTTGAACTGTTTCATCGGCGTACTAGTGGTTCAGCTCAGTTAGGCCAGGTGGAGTTATATGACCGAACTAGTATATAACTCATTGTGTCCCCCTAGTTTGAATTGTTAGTAATGAGGATACGAATTAGTCGTTACAATCGAGGCTTCCAAAATTGGATAAGTATGACCTAGACTTAAATGTTATGCAACGGTTCTATAAACCTATCTTCAATCATTACTCTATTACCTTCGTAACATCACTCTGTTATTACAATCCTTGATCTTATAAAAAGGGGGAGTTATCATAAGAAATCTCCCAATCGTGTTTTTCCGAAATGTTTGATGGGTTTATTAGGTTGCAAAAAAATTCTCAATGCGGAGGACTCATCATCGCTTCTTGAAAAACCAAACTTTTTGACTTTCTCATCGAAACAAAGATTCCATCTACGAGATTCTTGTTTCAATCCATAGATGGATTTCTCAAGCTTGCACACTCTATTCGGGTACTTTGCATCCACAAAACCCTCTGGTTGATTCATGTAAACATCCTCAGCCAACTTTCCATTAAGGAAATTGGTTTTGACGTCCATCTGCCATATTCCATAATCATGAAGCGCAACTATGGCTAGCATAACCCTTATAGATTTGATCTTGGCCACTGGTGAGAAGGTCTCATCATAGTCAACCCCAGGGGTTTGAGTAAAGCCCTTCGCAACCAATCGTGCCTTGAACGTATGCACTTTCCCATCCATGTCGGTCTTTTTCTTGAAGATCCACTTGCATCCGATGTTCTTTCGACCCGGTACATTGTTAACATAGTTCCAAACCTTATTATCATACATGGACTGAATCTCGCTGTCCATCGCCTCTTTCCATTTTGCAGAATTCGGGCCTGCCATGGCTTCCTTGTAGTTGTTAGGTTCATCCATATTTATTAGTGTACTATCACTAATAAATGTATCACCCTCAACAGTTATATGGAAGCCATATAAGACAGGTGGAACATTGACTCTACTGGAACGTCTAAGAGGTAACTCGTCAATCGGTTCAACAGGAGTTTCCTCCTCAGGTTGAGCACTAGTGTTTGAGGTTCCTTCATCACTTGATTCTTGAAGCTCTTCAAGGTCATTTTTCCTCCCACTGTCCTCTTGGCATATGAGTTCTCTCTCTCGAAAAACCCCTCTCCTCGCAACGAAGACAACATTGTCACTTGGTCGGTAGAAGAGATATCCAAATGACTTCTGTGGATAGCCGATGAAAATACACCGCTCACTACAAGGTTCAAGCTTGTCGTGAGTCTCTCGTCTTATGAAAGCCTCGCAAACCCAAACCTTGATATTTGCCAGCGAGGGAACCTTCCATGTCCACATCTCGTGTGGTGTTTTGGCAACCTTCTTAGTTGGGACTAGATTAAGGATATGGGTGGCAGTCTCTAAGGCTTACCCCCAAAATGAGATAGGGAACGAAGCTCGGCTCATCATGGAATAAACCATGTCCAACAAGGTTCGATTGTGCCTCTTAGCCACACCATTTAGCTGTGGTGTCCTAGGCGGCGTCAATTGTGAAACA